GACTGGCTTTCGAGCAAGGGAAACCTTTACCTTACCTTTACCTGCTCCCGAATGGGGACTTAAAGCAGCTCAGACAACTATTCTCCTCTCCTCTTGACTTGGGAAATTTCTGGGGATTTGGGGGTGGAGCCTGGGGACGGCAGAGTTTGGGGAGGGGGCTCAGCAGGGATGTGACACCACAGAGTCCACCATCTGCAACTGCCATTTTCTCTGAGGGAGCTGATCCCTGTATTCTCAAGATCAGTTGTAATCCTGGGAGATCTCCGAGCCATTCCTGGAGATTTGCAACCCTGCCTCCATTTTATCATCTCAATAACAACCCCGTGAGGTAGATCAGGCTGAAGGGCAGTGACTGGCCCAACGTCACCCAGTGACTTTTCATGGCAGAGGTAGGATTTGAACCCAGGTCTCCCAGAGCTCAGACTGACATTTTAGCCACTGCACTACATAGGGTCTGCACTGTGCACTATCAATCCCTACAATTGGCAGGCAGTACGAAAACTGCAAATATGTCTGAAGTGAAAAAAGAATGCTCCCTGTTTCATTTCTTTACATTTTGTCAGCATTTCCAGTTCTCTGCTCTGCACTGTTGGCGTTGTAGATTTCTATGCATTATGCATGTGTTGTATCATTTTTATATGTAGTTTATCCAGTATTATATGTGTTACATACCACATAATGCAGATTTATTGACACCCAATAATGTCAAAACATGCATACACTCAGGGGTCATTTTGTAGAAAAAGAGCTAGGGGAACTCATTAGCATAACTCATTAGCATATGCCACACCCCCTGACATCAGGAGCCCGGCAGTGGACCTGCAAGGCCGGCGGGAGTGCGAGGAAGCCCCGCGAAGGCCCTCCCTGGCCCCAGGCAGGCAGGGGTGGGGAGAGGCGGGGAGGAAGCAACTTACCCTCCCTCTTCTCCTGCCTCCTCCTGACTGAATGAGGGACGGAAGCGGGGCAGCCGGAAGCAGGGGGCGGGGCTTCGTCATGTGCCCCCCTGCACCTCACCCGGGGGAATTGCGATCCCCCGCGTTCCCCCCCAAAATGACCTCTGCATACACTGTGCAGGAAATTCAGTGCAAAGAAACTGAAAACAGTGAAAACAAAGGATCGTGGGTTCTGTTTGCACAGAGACGTAAACTTAAAGTGGGATTTGGGGGCTGATGAAAACCTCAAAATCATCCCTAGTGCAAATATTAGGAACCTGGCCTGCCGTGCCTGGTCAACAGAGTAGAACATCTTAGGAAATGAATTTCTGTATTTGGAGAAGTGGCCTGGAAATATTTTAAATAAATAAATCCTTTCTGTTTCCTGTGCTTTCAGCTGTTCGCTCAAACCTTCCACTCAAGTTTCAGCCGATGGCTCAAACCCTTCATTTAGGTTCAGCTGCTCCTGGCCCAGAAAACTTCATTGTGCAGCTTTGGCAAATTGTTCTAACCTATTTTAGAAGGCCACTGTGAGGATAATAACAGACAATGATACATTATAACCTGCCCTGCTCTCTTGAGAGATGAGGTGAAGGGAAAGAAATCTGAATAAGTAAGGATTCTGTAGGAATTGATGGATTCCAAGTCAGGTTGCATTGTGTACTTGGTTACAATTACAGTTAGAGTTGCCACTTTTCCTCTGGGTGGGGGACTCCTGCCCCCTGCTCCCATTGCCCGCTGCTACTCCAGTGGCCAGTGGATGAAAAATAACTTTTAAAAAGCATTGGTGCAATGGTGGCACACTATCCTGGGGAAAACCCAGAGGTGATGTCATACCACTCCAGGAATTGTCAGAAACTCTGTGGTTTTACTATAGAGTTTCCAGCAATTCCTAGAGCAGCATGATGTCACCTTTGGATTTTCCCTGGAAGTACCATAACACCATTCCACTGATAGCCTCCCCCCCATACTCCCCCAGGCAACCCTAGTTCCAGTCCTGGAGATTTCCAGATTACTCAGGCTATAAAATGAAAAACTTTCTTGAGATTAATCCCAATTCTGTTTGTACAAAGCCTTGGGGACTACCCTACTTGATGATTCCATTTTCAGTCTCATCCATGGATCCCATAACATCTGCAAGCTTACATCTCATAGCAACACAGAGAGGTACCTAAACAGTGCCAGATTCCACACTGGAGGTTTTCATAACTAAGCCAGCGGACACATGAATTTCAAATGCTATTAGATTTTGATGCAGTGAGTAAATGGTGAATAAATGATGTCGGTTGTGAACCATTAAGGAAAGGGCATGCATTTAAAGTGGGGCTATGCAGAGTTACAGCATTATAATGCATATGTGCAATAAATCACACACCCCTCCAGTAGTTCACAAATGAAAATAAGGACACACTTTTAACCTCCTTGGGGCCCAATCATAAGCCTTGCCTTCAAACAGCTTAGTGTGGCATCTCAGACTTATGCCCGCGCATGCCAGCGCCAAGATGCACTGGAACTGGCCATTATAACTCTGACACTGGTTTAGAATTGGGCAACATCTGGGCATGTTGTGGGGGGGGGGAGAAAAAATATCACTTGGCTTTCCAGGCCTCTCAGAAGCCCCGGTCACTCCCTCAAAGCCAGTGTAATGTTACGTCAGCAGTAACCTTGATGTAGCTTTAAAAATCCCGTGAGAACACATGGAGAGTGAAAATACAAATCTCATCTCCCGAGAGGCTGGGTCTACGGCACAACAATGGCGGACGCCTTTCCTGTTGCTCCGGGAAGGCGCACCGCACAGCAGCTGAGGGGAGGGGTGCCGCGGGATCAGCACCTCCATGGGGGGTCAGGGAGACCCCCCAGGCCATAGGACTTTTGAGGGTGAGCCTCTTTTCCTGCTATCTGCAGGGAAATTGAGGCTGCCCTCTGCCCTGACAGTCCCCCCCACTGTCTGCGTCCTCTCAGCGAGGCACAAGATGTGCCGACCCAGTCAAGCGCAGGAGATCTGGCGAAAGAGCGATTACGAGCGTGGTCAAGATAAAGACCAACAATGAACTGTGAGTTAAAATGAGCGAACCATAAATAGAAGCGTAACCCCCCAAAAAACCTTTTGAGCGATTGGAATCGTCGTGAGAGAGGGACGCCTTTACATAAGCAGAGGAGGGAGGGAGAGAGAAAGAGACGATTGTAAACAGATACTTGGAAGCAAAAATTCTCTCCCCCCCCCAAACCTCTAGAGCGATTGGAATCGTGCTGAGAGAGGGATGCCTCTCTGATGCATTACATAAGCGGAGGGGGGGGAGAGGCGACTGTAAATTGATACTTTGGAAGGACTTTATAAGCGTATAAGCCTGTTGTGGGAGATATCCATGAGCATTTAAGCGATTAAACAGCATATAAGCGATTTTCAGAGTCGGGGAGAAAATGATTTTATATTGAAAATAAAGTGTTAAAATGGTGGAGGCTCCAAAAAAGTCAGTGAAAATAACTCAAAGAAAAAGGGAAGTGAACGTTATAGAACTCATAGTGGAAGCCACCAAGCCGATTCTGGAGCAACTTGTTGGTATTAACCATCAGCTTGCCAAGATAAATCAACAACTCATGTCCCGCCAGCAACAGTTGGCAACAATAGCAGAAAAAATGGAACAGAGGGCTGTCAAAGCAAAAGAGATGGACACTAAAACTAACAGCGATCTCAAAGAGACGAGGAGGAAAAGCATGAGAGAAACAGAAAAGATTTACAAGGACTTAACTCCTTCCTTGCAGGTGTTTTTAGAAAGTGTCATCTTAAACCCGGCTGATAGAAAAGAGTTTGAATCTGCCCTCAAGATCGAGAAGCCTTTGAGATGCCACTGGGCCCCGAGGTTGAGACCAAAGAGGAAGAGGCTCAAGATCGGCGGTTTTATCCCTTTGGAGACAGAGGAAGACTGAGTTGCAGAATTACGAGTGAACGTCTAAGAAGCCATCAAGATTTTAGAGAGAATTAACGTACATGATGTAAAGGCGGAAGGACTCTGAAAATTGCCTTTATGAAGCGAGCTGGAGGAGATGCTCTGGAAATCTTCTCATAACAAGTAATAAACTAACACATAAGCTTAGTAAGACAGGATCTCACAAAGTATATTGTTTATTAACAGCTTTTTTATTACTAACTGTAGTTTAACAGGGTAATGATCACATTCACAGTGAAATGGCAATCATCATCCATGGCTACAATGGCTGCAGTGATACCCAGTGTTGTTCCAGTTGCCCTGCTTTGGGCAAGTCTGTCTTCTAAACTCGTTCCTGGATCGTTGCAAGCTGCATAACAGACAGTTGCATGACCAGTACAGGTATTCCTTTCGTGGGCATGCAGTGACAGGGACAACTCTACCTGAGGCCTGAAAGTGCTGTCTGGAAGGTAAGCCACATATGCCGCTCTGAGCTCTTTAGAAGACAGGTGGGATAAAAACGTGACAGATAAATAGAATGGATTTCACAGTTGCAGGTAGTGGATTTCAGTTTAGAAAATACACATTTGCTTTAAACAAAACTTAAAGAACTAGCACAGCAGGGAGAAGTCATCTGTCCACTCTGGATTCTATTTGCAGGGAGTTTTTGACATAAGGAACATTCTGGTTGGTGTGCTACATTCCAGTCTACCACCTGAGCATTTTATCTCCTTTATTCCCCTCTCATTCTCTTCTGTGTGTAAACCCGGCCTGCCACCGCCACGTGGTTCCCAAAGTGTTAAATAAATCCCTTACTCAACAACACAAATAATCCTCAGCTAAGGTCTGAATGTTCAAGGGGCACAGCAGCATTTACTCTTACAGCTTCAGCACCCAGCTGGATGTAACATAAACCCAAACATACAGGGTGCAATCAAATAAACACATAACCATGTGTACGGGCAAATAATGTAGGGGGGGGGGAACATACCAAGATGCACCAGAGGAAAGAGCCACAGCTACAGAACTACAGAACAAATATGAAGGACCCAAACCATGATTATCCATATGAACATCAGCAACATCATGCAACTAAGTATAATATACAACACACACACCAATTAAAAAACACACACCTTACCTAGCCCCAAACATGAAACTCTTAGTCCGGATTTCCCAAGGTTTCTAGAATGAAAAATAAGAACATAATATCAAATAGCAATTCATCTGATAAGTAAAACTGATGTCCTAACTAGGGAGGCATGAACACCTACTGGTTCAGTTTATGTTTGCCGGTTATGAGCAGGAAGCTGATTTTTAGACTATTTGGTTCATTGATGTTTGCTGCTGCTTGGCAAGCTGCTTCTCTTGCGAGCACAGTCAACCTTTCCTGTAGCCATGGGTGCTATTTTCCCTGCCTTACCACTGAAGGGCTTTTTGAAGACCTTTTTAAAAATGTCAGTAACTAATATCACGAAAGTACACCCTAACATGCTCTAGACATTTCCCTTGCCAAGTTGAATGCTTCACCTTTCCCCTTACAACTTGGCACGGAAAAGGGCTAGAGACTTACTTTTTAAAAAATGAAGCCTGGCAATTCAAAGATCATGGCAATAGATTGTTAGAACATTATCCCCCCCCCTTCACAATAGCAGTTACCAGGGGTGCTAAATACTTCCATGGAAGCAATATCAAATGACTCCTTAATATACAAATAGGAACATTGACATGTGCAAGCCAAAAAGGAATTATGTGTCACGGTAAGTCTGGATAATATTGTAATTGGAAACGCTCTTGTACAGGTCTGTTAAGTTAGACCCTTTTAGGAAGAGCATATTATGTTTCGCTAACAAAGAGGCTTCTTAAGACGTTACGCTTCATAGCTGGAATAAAAATAAAGTGGATATATTTAGAGGCGTGTGCCATGAAGTGTGGCAAGCCACACGTCTTCATTTTGAGCTATTTCAGCGATCATTTAGCATTCGTTGTAGTAACACTGATTAATGCATTTGCAATATGCATCAGAAAAATGTTTTCACTTTCTCCAGTCACCTCCACGTTTGCTCAAAATATACAGATCCATCATAACAACTGAAGTCATCTGATGAATTTTCTGAAAAGAAAGGTACACACTGTGCTGCTGAGCTGTGGCGGTTTCAAAAATGTTCTTCCAGGCACAGGACTGAGTCTCACATTGCGTTGGCTGGGCTAGAAGAGGCTGATGCCCTCTTTCCATATACTGCAAGTTCTGACAAATGGCTGTTTTCTGCAACTACTTTGCATCCAGATCTGAAGCTGGAACACGAGAGTTGCCGTGCACCTTGGGATATTACTTTCTTTGTGACCTGGCTAACCCACACAGCCCTTTTATCCCACTGCCACTGCTGGCCGAGGGCTTTTACTTGTTGAGGATTAGGGTACTCACTTAGGTTCCCGTTCTCAGGTTCATACAGCAGGGAACGGTGCTCTCCAAACCACATCAATTTATTAACAAGGAGATACAGGGATGGCAGCAACTGGTATCGGAACAAAGGAGCTCATGCAGTCAACGCTTCTGGCTAACAAACAGAACTAAGCTGGGATTCCGCCCCATGAAACTAGACCAACTCACACAAATAGATGAGGAGAAAGCAGGCCATTCCATTGTAATGTAAATGTGTAGAATGGATATACCACTGAGGCGGCCAAGAGGGGAAGAACTAGGGGCTTCTAGGCTGCCCACCATGGCTGCCTGTGCTCCAGGCTCCTGCTGCCACTTGCTAAAGCAGCAGGAACAAAAATGTGTGTGTGTGTGGGGGGGAGGACTGGCACTGAGCAAATGTGTCCCAAACCAAGCAAAGGTTTTTACTTATGAATGCTGTGGCAACACAATCAAAGAAGGAAATTTTTGGACCACAAGTTTATAATCACTGGGCTAGTGATTGCACTTTAAAGATCTTATGTGCATATTTACCTTGTGCCTGGTGATTTTGAACAATTTACTTTATGGTCCTCATTGAATCTATACTTTGTATATATTTCTAATTGTGTTTATGTGAAAATAATTATTAACCATCTTGCCACATATGTCTGACCTCTGAGGAAGGCCTATTTGGCCGAAACGCGTAAGGTCAACTTTGTAAGCCCTTGATATTGTTATATTTTATATACATTGGTTGTAAATGGGCCTCTATATATGTTTTAAAATTTGTTATATTTATTAATAAATACATGTACCTCTTTTTATCTTTTATGGAAAGGTTTTAATATTGGCCCTCCTTTTCACTAACCTTTGCTTGGTTTTGGAGTTCATTGTTAGGTTCAGTGTTTTTTCCCCCTTGGTTTCTGCTTGATTGAGCAAATGTGTAACACCACTTCCAGTTGTGTTTCTGGAAATGATGTCACAGCATCAAGTGACACTCTAGGAAAAACATAATTCGGGAAATTCCTAGGGTGTTGTATGATGCTGTGATGTCACTTCCAGGCATGCAACTGGAAGTGGGACAACACGGCGGCGGGGGGGGGGGGGTGCACTGCTGTTGCTGTATAGCTATATGACTGAGAACACCATCTTGATCGTAAAATTTGGAATTGAGTAGGGGAGCACTGAACTGTTTTATGAATTTAGTTAATTATTTAACTGTTTTTGTAATTCTGTGTATTTTATACTGGTTTTATTGTTATTATTTGGCGTATGCTCCTGTTAGCCGCCCTGAGCCTCCGGGGAGGGCAGGATATAAGTTTAAATAAGTGACATCGCTGAATCACACAATGCTGGTGTCTACAGTTTTTACCCCCTATACCCCCAAAGGCTGGCAACCCAAGGATGACCTAGGCTTACAAATTTCTGAAAACCAAAGTCACTGTGAGGGTCCAAAGAGATGAGCAAATTATGTGATTTTTTAAATATGATGTTTGGGTTAGATATGCCTGGTTTGAGGATGCCCAAAGAGAATCGTCATCTGGGAGGACATAGTGGCTCCCAGCAGCTTGCCACTGGCTGTGGCATCTAGCCAGGGGAACCACACTGTCCCAGTTACATAAGAAGAGGAAGAAGAGATTAGATTTATACCCAGCCCTTCACTATCCGAAGGAGTCTTTGAGCGGCTTACAATCCCTTTCCCTTCCCCTCCCTACAACACACTCTGTGAGGTAGGTGGAGCTGAGAGAGCTCTCTCAAGAACTGCCCTTGAGAGAACAACTCTGAAAGAACTTATGACTGACCCAAGGTCACACCAGCAGCTGCATGTGGAGGAGATGGGAATCAAACCCAGTTCTCCCAGCTAAGAATCTGCACTCTTAACCATTACACCAAACTGTCTCTATCAATGAGACCTGAGTTGTGATCTCAGTTCTGTTCAGGAATTCAGGCCATATGGCTGTGGGGGGGGGGGGGTAAGCTGACCTGTAGTTAGATGGAATTGGGGGGGGGGTCAATATATTTCCCAATATTCTGTATCTGATCATGGACCCCCAAATGTAATTTTTAATTTGGCTTCTAGTTTCTCAAAGTGAATTTCCAAATATGTACATTTTGTATGTTGTTCATAACTTCTTGGCCCTACCCAAGAGAACAGCATGTTTTAAGTAAATAAAAATAACAATCACTCATTGATATTGACTTATGACATCAAGCTATGGCTTCCAAGTGTGAAACAGCACCTTGGTAACTTATAGGGGCACTTTTTAAAAAAAATTAGGCATTTTTGATTACAGAGCAGCATCTGCAATTTCTATTCTTGCTAGAGAACTTACTAGAAAGACAATAGAAGCAATAAAGCAAGATGTCAGGAAAGATCATTATCTGTGCGGCTAATGAGCATGCTGCATTAAACATGGACTCTGGCTCCAAGTGATCAATGCAGCACAGAACTCTCTTTTAATTATACCTTTCGACACCAGCACTTAACATTATCAACTTTACCAGAAGCAATGCCTTTTGGCTTTGTTTTACTAAAAGCTAAAAGGTATAATTTGTCAACCATCTATCCACCTTTCACTCCAGAAACTTTCAGCAGCCCTAGTCTTTAAACAATATCTCTGGACATTTATGTGCAGCTGCAAGCAATTTTAAAGCCAAACAGTTGTCTTAGATGGCTTATTTCTTTTGGAACCCACATAGCTACAGACACGGCCAAGGCATGACACAGCTCAGTCCAGATGCAAAGGCATCTTCCACTAGTGCAGAATTGCCCTGAGCAATAAATTGCAGCACAGGACTGTTCAATCTGGACAGATTTTTTTCTTTTTAAAAAGACTGCCCCAACTGGTCCCCAATCTGGCTGGAAAGAGCAACCTATCCAGATGCCAGTTGATCCTCATATCTAGGTAGAGTTGACATCTCCCCGCCCTGTGTTGTTCCTTTCCTTTTTGCAGTTCTGGAACAGGTGAAGGCACAGGTATATAAGAACTGGGGAGTCTTGAACACAGATCCCTGGGAACCAATTTCCGGCTCCCTTACCACCTCAGTTCTGAGCAAGCCAATCAACCAACCTAATAAGGCTGGGTCACTGGAGGAAATGTCACCTGAACCAGCCCAGCAGAGATGTGTACCTGAGGGTGCCAGTGAAAATGGACTTTATATGCCTCTGGCTTGGCTCCTCAATCTTAGTAGCTAATCTGTGGTAGACGGGACTTGATCTGGTTTGCCTGCTTCCCTGCACCTGTTGTTTTGTGTACTCAGATCCCTCCCTCCCTGTCTATGGTTACCCCTCCTGCCTCTGGAGCTATAGTTTACTGTGTTGTACTTGATCTCCAAGACTGACTAGGACCATATTTCCAGCCCTGGAATTCCAGCTTCTTTCCCTGAGGGCCAAGATGTAATGGCAAGCTTGTCGGAACGTCATCACAAGTTTAAAGTGATTTAAACTGTCATAAGAGTATCAGGCCCGCAGCATGGCAGGGTGAGACAGTATTGTGTCCCCCACCCACACCTTATCGAGTGCCAAAATAAGAGTGCCACTTGCAGGCCCATTGGGGGGGGGGGGCAGGGCTGCCGTAAAACAGGAGCAAATATTCAGTCCTGGGTGAATCATATGAGTCACACGTTGTCAAGTTGCAGCTAAGCCCAGCCTTGATTAGTCTTCCCTCAAAGCCCAAAACAGCCCTGGAAGAGACTCTTCCCACTATCCCTACCTTTTACTGACAGAAACTAAGGCTTGAAGGCTGGTGATGTTGTGTGGTTGAGTAGCAAAGGCCACTGCAGT